AGACTGACGTCTTTTCATTGGTCAGCCGGTTAGCGCGGCCGATGCTAATAATAAAAGCACACACACACGATAAACATGATATACCATAAACTTACCATAAAAGCACACACATACCCGGCAAAAAAAAAAAAAGAGACGTGGCGAAACAAGAAAAACGCGGCGAAATACCTAGGCGACGGTTTCCTTTTTTTCCAATTCCCCCGCACCCAAGGGTTGTGTCCCGTTTGTACCTCGTACACACGCAACACATTAGCTACGATGTCGGAGGAAGCGAGCGCGGGCTCTGCCTCCGCGTCACAGGCCTCACAGGCCTCACAGGCCAGTGCTGGTGGTTCTTCCTCGGTAGACCAGGGACCTGCCGCTACCGACCCGAAGGCTTCAGGAGAGGCTATCGACGAGATGCTGGCCGCAAATGACCCCGACAGCAAGAAACGCAAGTACCCAGAGCCCGGCTTCCCAACTGAAAGGTCAGGAGCAGTACTACCCGGTCGGGTTCAAACTCAAAGCGGTCGCATTCACACGCGTCGTCTGCGAGGACGGAAAACCCGTGAGAAACAGCGGTGCAGCGATAGTTCTCGACGTGCCCCGCAGGCGTATCGTCGAGTGGGTGCGCGACGAGGAATCGCTCAGAGCCAACGTCAGCGCCAACCCCAAGCTGTCTAAGGCCAAGCAAATTCACGCTGGAGGCAAAGCTTCGACAGCCGACATCGAAGAAGCCCGGGTGGAATTCATCAACGATCAGCGCAAGCATCACGTCGGCTGTGGTAGCATGGCGGTCATGAACAAGCTGCTTGAGTTGAAGCCGGATGCCCTTGGCGGGCTAATAGCCAAGCCGAAGCCGGGGAGGCGTTGGCTTTCAAGTCCAAATTCAAGAGCTGGTACCAACGTTTCCGCAAACGGAACAAATTCAGCATCCGCCGGCGTACAAGCGTGGGCCAAAAGCTACCGAAGGGACACGAGGGCATGGCGTGGGCGACGTTGATGAAGCTGCGTAAGGCTCTCCTGGAGCGTGCTGTCGAGGTCTACGCTCAGCGCTCCCCGCCTGCACCTGGCAAGAGCCCCATCAGAGGGGAGGACCTGAGTTCATCGCAGCTGGAGTTGGTGGCCGACGAACTGTTCGAAGAACTGGGCAACATGGACCAGACGCCAGTCCAGCACGAGATGCCGGTGGAGACGACTCTGGGAAAGACCGGTGCGAAGGATGCCCGCATCGCCACCGGAGGTGAGAGTATGACTGCTGTGTCAGTGTTTTCCTAACTTTTGCCGTGAAGTGTCGTGCGTATTTGCGGTCGGCCGGATATTTGTTCTGATCGTGATATTATTCACATGTTCTTGGAAACGTAATTCAACCGTTTGCATCCATTTCAGCCGGCGTCTGTTGCATTCGCACAATTTGGAACCTCTCCCCTACCCCCCAACATCGTGTATCCCCCCCCCCCACCAGGAAAAGAGAAGGAACGCTTCACGCTCTGCCTGGCTGTCTCGGCGGATGGCAAGAAGGTCCCGCTGCGCATCATCTTCAAGGGTACGCCTTTCGTCCCGCCTGCCACGCCCGGGAAGGGAAAGGCGACTCAGCCGCGGAAGAACTCTATCGCGTGGGAGGTACTTCCTGCGAACCGCTCCAAGCACGGGCTCCCCGTGGGAGGCATGTCCTTTGGAGTGCAGGAGAAGAGCTGGTGTGACCTGCGGGAGTGCAAGCTCTGGATCAAGGACAGCTGGAAGCTCCGTCCCAACAACGGCAGCATCGTCCGGCAGCGCCGATGCATCTTGGTGCTGGACGACTTCAAGTGCCACAAAGACGATGGCTTATCGCGGCCCTCAAGAGGGAAGCCAACACCATCGTCATATTCATCCCAGGCGAGTTGACTCCTCTCCTCCAACCGCTGGATCGCATGCTCAACAAGCAGATGAAGCGGCTGCTGCGGGGCATGTACACGGCACACACGGCAAAGGCGGCCAGGGACCCCAAGACGGGCAAGCTGGCACCGCCGGGGCGTGGGGCCGTCGCTACTTGGTGCAAGAACGCGTGGGCATCCATCACCCCCGAGACAGTCAAGACTTGCTTCAAGATCTGCGGCCTCACGCTCGCGCTCGACGGCAGCGAAGACCACGCCTGGTGCCTGCACAACTTCGGGGACGGCTACCGCGAGCTCCTGGAGCAGCAGCGCGTCGAATGGCTTGCGGAACACCCCAACGTGACTCTGCCGCCGCTCCAACTTCCGAAGGTACCAGCCGAATCAACCGCCAATCACATCGAGGCTGCAGCAAAGGAGCTCGAGGCGGGGCTTTTGCCTCGCGGCGACGACAGCGACATCGAGATTGAGGATGACGACAGCGATGTAGAAGTCGTGGAAGGGGCGGGGGATGAAGAAGTGATCGAGCTGTAAAATACCACCGTCACGTGGGAGTACCAGTACAGTAGAGGTTTGGTTTGCAATATGTTCGTAGGAGACTGGCGCTAGAACTCTGTGATGCAAAGGACAGCGGCTTCTAGAGAGGGGTTTTTGTTTGGTGCTACATACGAACGTGGAACAATACTTGCAACGCGGTCCACGAGCATGTGCCAGTAAAGATGTCCAGAATACTTTTGTGGAGATCGCTACTTTCTGCCGGTTTTTCGCACGAGTCCTAGGTGGTAGTTTGTTGCGGTGGTTTCGATGAAAAAACAAACAAACATGATCACACCCTGAAAAACAAATATATTTTCAAGTCCGGCGGATACCGTATTACAAAAAACGTTATTGCGCACAGGTACATGAGCACCGCACGGCGCCGAAGTTGATTCTTCATCAAACACGCCCCTACTTGTTTAGCGCACAACAAGACTGGACACCGCTCTTGGAAGCGCCCAACCTCATTGCTGGGATCGGGGTCTCCGCACAGTGTGCGTAGACCCCGATCCCTGTGCGATAATCGAATTAAATCATGTGGAACCCGGTTTTTGTTCCGCACTTCTGTGCCATGACCCCGACCCGTGCGGAGACGCCGATTCGTGCGAAGACCTCGATTATTACGGTAATACCCCTAATTCTCTCAATTTTTGCATTTCAAGGAAATCAATTCTGCCCAGGCAGCCGCCTGGCGTATATCTCGCGGTGTGCAAAATGTAAGCATTTTTTTCATTGGTTGAGGCAGTACACACCAGTCCGCCAAAACATTACATGTGACCGAGGGGGTACCCCCTATCGTAGCATCCCTCTGACGCTTGGTGCAGAGGTTGAGAATCGGAGCAACATCGCCTACGCTGTAGCTCACGCCATTCTGCTGTATGCCCTAAATCACAAAATACATCCGTGCTGTTTTCTGCCGCTCGCTCGTCCTCGGCAAGGACGCCTGTGGATGAAGCCGCTGTGGACGCTGACGACGCACGGTTGGACAGAAATATTCGGGGCAAAAGCGCCTACTGCTCCGCTCAAGCAGCAGGGTATCCTCGTGATCTTGGGCATTCGAGTGGCTTGACGTACGGTGGGCGAGTAGAAGGGGCACCTTCGACTTGTTGGGCAGGTAGACGGGTTGAGGTGGGGCAAGACTTGACCTATTACCTCCAGCCATTGACATGCCTAAGAACGCGAAGACACCGCTGCTGCTCGCCTGCCTTATGTCAAGCCATTCGCATACATATTCCAGAGATCACGAACACGTCCCTGCTGCTCGGGCGCAGGCGCTTTTGCCTCCAATTTTTTTTCTGCACATTGCGTCGTGGAACGCCTGGTTGGGGTTGTCGTCTGCATCCACAACCCCTGCTGCTCCGCAGTCCTCGGTTACGACGAGGATGCAGCGACCAGTGGACAAACGTCGGTGTGTTTCTCTGTAGGGGACACAGCGCGGGTCGAAAGGAAAAGAGGAAGTTCGTCAGCGCCATCAGAGGGAGAGGTACGGACAATGACTCCATCAGAGGGCGCTGATGGAACCCGTTCTTGCGTTTCGACCCATCCTGTACCCCGACAGCAAGAGCACGCTCCCCATTATCGACCCAACACCACGCCCTCGTCGTTAACGAGGATTTTGGGCGAGCAGCAGGGTTGTCGCGTGATCTTGGGCATGCTAATACCTCGACGTAGACCAGGGCGCTCCCTGAGGGAGAAACGAACAGGTAGGTACGGCTGCCGACGGCCCTGCAAAAGGTGTAGCTATGGTCGTGGGGTTTTGCAGTGTGTCCTCCTGATGGGTAAACGCGACCTATCTTTGAAGAACCGAGTTTAGGTTGGTTGGCAAAGCCGTTTTCGGACAATACCGACTGACAACGGCCAGAACGTTATGCAGGTGTATTATAGAGCAGGATATTTCCCGGACCGGTGCCACTCATTCGCTCGAGATTCATGACGGCGCACGTGCACTAAATGACTGTCGCTCCTCCGTTCCCTCACTTAGCGCATGTGATGTAGAAGTATTTAGTTAGTTGTGATTCCAACAAAGGGCTGTGTTGAACGCCAATTCCCCTCGCCACATAGTCTACATGCGTAAACTACGACGGTCGCTCACGAACAAGAACAACAAAGTTTAACTCGATCGTCCCAAAAAGCTCGCCAGGCGAAAAACAACAATGACCATACCCGCAAGATCACCCAACACCATCTATTCCCCGAACAATGGGGAGCTTCCAAGGGTGGCTTGGCAACGTCAGGCGAGGTTGGGTGAAGAAGGCGGAGCTCGCGCGCGAGGCGACGCACGGACTATCTGACATGGCAGCGATAGTTTGCTTTGTTATGTACTGCAGTTTCTGGCAGTGCTGCAGAACATAGACTATGCATGCGTACTTGTACTTGATTGCGATCAGCATGACACGACGACGCATGCATGCACCACGGTTATGTATGTAGTCTATGTGTTTTTATTGTGGCATCGACCGCGCTATCCGGCTGACCAATGAAAGACGTCAGTCTTAGTTATTATGTGTGTATGGTCGTTGTCGGGGATTCTTGAGGCCATCCGCGTGCGTATGCCTAGACTTTTTTGTCGTTCGAGTGGCGGGGTTTCGTGACTTGTTCCGATTTGGCCTCAACCATATTGCTTCCGTCGTTGCGGGACGCGTAAAAAGGAAATGTTATTTATATCGAGTACAAGTAATAATACTAAGAGCAACAGGGTAGACTAGGCGACGACCCTGTAGTCCAGACGTCGACGGACCCGAAAGGTGATCTTGTCGCGCAGGAGGGTAGATAAGAGTAGATGCCGGGAACAGGGGAGCATTGAGGAGGGTTGTGACACTGTCGGGTTAGTGTGCGTCAATGGACAAGCGGAAAACTTGATGAAAGTTTAGACTATTTAGTAGCACGGGGTGAATCCACGAACTTACATCACAAAGTGGCCTCCACTTGGCCTTCACTTAGACAGCAGGGGGGTATATCCACGAACACACTTTGCACACTAGCCTCCGCTTGGCCTCCACTCGGACACCCCTATTCTGGTCCCACCCAGTGCTTCCGCGGTTCCGCACACAGCCATCATGCTTGGGCGGAAAATAGCGGAGCACGCACCACGTTGCGCATGCACTGCATGTCTTGGATATCCGGGACTGAGATCCCATTTCGCAGTTGGGGAGTCGACTTCCTCCCATCGGTCATGAGAAATACGGACTACTCAACGACTACTCTCGACAAAGAGGTAGGGCCGAATGATAACAGAGGGAAGAAGGATGGTGAAAAAAACACCTGGCTTGACCCCCCGCTGGGCGATTCATCCATGTAACCCCAGCGGCGGTTGTGTCGTCTGACGCGCGGAGAGTTTTAAGAGAAAGGACGACAGCCATGATAACGATGGCAACCGTACGCCGTCCTTGTCCCAGCCAGTCAGTGCAGAAACCACCCATTTCGTTTTTTTGTTTTCTTGATTCGCCTTGACCACGCTGACCGGCTGACAAATGACAAGACGTCAGTCATGTTCACGGAAGGAACACGTTGTGCGCAGGCTTGTGTTTTCTCATCACATGTACAACAGTAACGTCAGTCAGTCTAGTCTACACCTTTCATCCCATCAAAAACAGTACGCCAGTCAGTCTAGTCTTCACCGGCTTTCAGTAGATGTAAGACGTTTGCGGGAGCTGGCGGGGTTTTACAAAGAGGAGGAAGGAGGAGGAATTAGGTAACCACTGACTGGTTTTGTTTTCTCCACTTTCTCCACCTTTCTTTACCGCTGTGGCGGTTCTTGCCCCAAATTTCTCAACGCGAGAACCCCTTAACGGTCCAGAAGGGAAATAAAGGCGAAGGCCGTCATCAATCCTCAATTTCGGGTGCGCAAGTCTCCTGGAACAAAATGCTCGATATTATTTTAACGCGATAATGGTTCAAACGATACTTCCAAGACTTTTCCTCACTTATCTGGTCAGCTATTACATGTAGCGTCATCCCGCCCTAGGTGAATTGCTGTACCATAATGATTAGCTTCACCTTAAACCAACCGCGGCATCCAATTTTTATCAGTCCTGATCCCCCCCCCCCCGCCCCGCCCCGCCCCGCCCCTCTTGACGGGCTGATGTGTACACTTGTGATGGAGGAAAACACAGCACGCCAACGACAGTCCACTTTTACTGTCGCCACGCAGCCTCTCTCTCCCGTCTCGCCCGTCCCGTCCTGCCCCCCACCCATAACAAAATACATACATCACTATAACAACCGCGTCACTCCATTGCTGCACTTGAGTGATTGGACAACCCTTCCGAGGTGACCTCCGTGCCACTACGACGTGTGGAACCACCGTGTTTCTTGTTTTTTACCACACACTCACATCACGCCTGCGAGACACTCCCAATCCTACAGGCAGGTGGCTCCTGGTACCCCTCACACAACATCAACAACCGGCACTCAAAATCGGTGTTTTCGTGTTGCTGCCGGTGCTGCTGTGTCGTGCACACAAATCTCCCGGGCGGGTGATATAGTGTAGGGGGCGGGTAGTATCCTACGCTGCACCACCCGCTTCGCGACAATCAAAACACCCAACTCACAAATTAATTGGTTATACCCACCCTCCGATGTAAACACGTTACAGAGGATCCCCCCCCCC